TCCTTTATTCTCCTTTCTAAATAAATAAAATTTCCTATTATCATACACACAATGTCATTGATTTATAATCTTTTATAATAATATATTATAATTCTTTTTTAGTATTGATATACACATATACACATTAATTCTGAAAGCAAAGAAAATAATAAAAATAATTTATTTATTTAATATTTTTTAAGTGATTCTGTTGTGATCTTAATCTGCAATCTTGTGTCATATGATATTAAGGGCGAGTTTTTGAAAAAATGCTAAGAAAAGTGTATAAAGTCTTAGAAATTAGAGAAAAATTTAGTCTTGATTTTGGGTAATATTCTGTTATACGAATATAATTAAGTGTAAACATCATTAATGATTGAGCATATGCAGTGTCATCATATAACTAATAAAACTTGAAGATGTAAGAGTTTCTCAGTGCCAGAAAAACTCAAATTTACCAGTTAGTTGTTATATTTGTAATTTCCTCAACATTTAATTATACTGCTCAAAATATTCTAATATTTTGGCTGCTCGTAACAGTGCTACTATTAATCAGTTATCATTAAAATTTCCTCAACAGTAATTTTCACTGCTTAAAATATTCTAATATTTTGGCTGCTCATAATAGTGGTACTATTAATGGTTATCATTAAAACTCCTCCACTATTACTTTTGCTTCTCAAAATGAGTGAAAACTTTTATTGCTCATAATAGTGCTTATATTGTATGTCATTTTACTGTATGTTGTCAATTATTACTTTTATGCAAAATGAATACTAAATTATTTTACTCTCTCTCTCTCTCTGCTCTTTTTTTTCAAATGAAAGCCTCTTTAAGATCTACAAATTTTATTATTATTTATTCTTTATTAAATTTTTACTTTACTGCATTAAGTTATAAATTTTTTCTTTAATATTCTGTAAAATATTATGATATAGAAATGTAGTAGAGTGTAAGTGTTGTAACACAAAATTATTATTGCATATAGTGGTATGATAATAATATATTAAAGAAACAAACAAGACACAAAAAATAATAATAATAAAAATAATATTAAACGTTTGTATTACAATGACCTACTCAATCTCTTTGTTAGTATCCAAATACTTCATATGAGAATTTCAAACAAAATCACTTCATTCTATACTATTGTGAATTGAATATACTTAATATTCTTTATATATATTTCATATGTACTGTTATAATATACGTATGTCATAGCATTTTATAGTTGTATACTCCAATTTTTGTTACACACATTTATGCATAGCTATTTATTTTCATATATTAAAATATAAGATTCTTAAATTTTTTCCATTCTTTATTTTTATTTATTTGATAATATTTTCTATACCAAAAAAAAATAAATAAAATATTATTTTATAAGTCAAAACTTCTTAACAGACAACATGGCAACATATTAATAAAAATGAGAAAAAAAAAACAAGAGAAAAACCATTCCAACTCTAAGCAAAAATGACAACAAAGTTATAGTAGGCAAAAAAAAAACAAAATAAAAGAAAAATGAGCGAAAACGAAATCATAAAAAGCCTCAAGGTCATAACGTGATTTTATCCCTATCCTATGCAAATACAAAATTTTTACATAATATTTAATATATTTGTAAGTATGTATGTATAGTTTTGATAAATTTATTTCTATAAAAATTTTATTATAAAAGAATACCCCAACAAACACACACACTCATATTCTTCTTAATAAAAATATCCCATTAAATAATAAGCACACACACACACACATACACCTACATATTACTCAGAAGTAGAGCGTCGTTTACAACTACAAATACCTATAATATACAATGTCATATTCTTCATATATGTATATATATATGTAGGTATACGTGGTTGTGTATTTTACAAATATGTCAAAAATACTAACCAGAGTCAACACAATACATATTTTGTATTAATTTGAGAGGGCTATATATAAATGGGATTAATTCAATCTCTTATCAAATTATTAAAAGAAAAAAACAAAACAAAAATAATAATAAAAAACTGGAAAAAATTTTTACTGCTTCCTTTATATGTGATAGTTTTTCTAGTTTAAAAACAAGAAATCCTTTATTCAAAAACTAAAGGAAAAAAAATGTAATAATATCACGTAAAATTGTGTATATATATTTATAAACTAATGGAAAAAGGACACTACTGAGAAAAATTAGAACTGGGAATACAATTGAAATTTAATATCGAAAAATATGCATGATTCTCAGCACAATATAATTTTCTTATTTCCTTGCTATTGTGGAATATACTCAATATTATTTTATTATATTTGAATTTAAACCTCATTGTCGCTAGCCCCCCTCTACCATCCAATTTTGAGCCTACGAAATGAGGTTTAACTAAAACTTCACTTATAAAATCCTATATGTAAATTTAATATAAACGTAATATTATTGAACTCGTATAGAAAGAAATTTTGGGCTTACTAAACCTTTAAACTTTAAAGTTGGTTTTCCGAAAAACAGATACTTGCCACTTGCCTGTAACCAAAGACATATTGCAGAGCCAATAGTCAAATAAATTCAAATTAAATCAAACAATTTAAACAGTAAAAGAGTTTGAGAGTAGATTGTAGATTTTTAAGGGAACCGAGTGGGAAAGGAGTAACCCCCCATACCACCGCAGCCATTCTTGACTTATTGTAGCCTCCCCACGCCCCCTTCAATAGTATCCCCGTTCCAACCACAAAGCCGGAGATATCCCTAAGAGAGTTGGACAACAGTTCCCGAACGGTTTGGAATCCATGTCCAAGACAATTGCGGCGCCAAACAGCCAGTACCGGACAGTCGCTGAGAATGTGCACGAGTTTAAGAGTACTATTTTGCCTTATATTCAAAATGTATAAAAGAAAACTAAAATATTCAAAATTCTTTTATTGACAGTAGTGTTTTTTATACAGATCTATAACCATAATATTATTGGGCTATAAAAATGTTCTTATATATTCTGTCTCTCCCTCTCTCTCTCTATCTTATACAATCACAATTTTATTCAAAATCCCCCATAAATATAAATATATTTGTATTATACAAAATATAGATAGTATAACAGTTATATTACCATACATATATATAGAAATATGAAATTTTGTATAACTATATTGAATTTAATTTTATGTCTAACAAGTTTAACAAAAAAAAAAAAAACAAGAAAATTTTCCTAAATTGTCATATTATTCTTATTGAAATTCTCTCAAAAAATTTTTTCTCCTAAACTCTTTCACTTCTAGATAATAATCATAAATGAAAGTAAGGGGAATATAATTTATCCCAAACGTAATAGTTAAGGGGTATATTGCTAATACAAGTGGTTAGGATAATATACTCAATGAAATTGGATAAATGAAAATCCCTATCCCTCCTATTATAAAATAAAAAATAATAAGAAAGGAAAATCCCTTTTTCATTTAAATTCTAAGAAAATACTTTAGAATAAAATTAATTTTATAAAAATTTTTAAAAGGAAAATATCCTTTTTCGAGAAAAAATTTACATAATCTGTGAATAAGAAATTTCATGTAAAATTAATTTGGTACAAATAAACAAAGCTTCTGTAAAATTTTCTATTTTTAGAATTTTGTAATTTTTTGTTTTTTCTTTTTTTTTTAAGTATGATGTGCTAATTTAATTATAGCGGTCGAAGCAATTTAAAATTAAACGTGTAATAAATTAAAATTTTTTTCAATTTTTGAATTGAAAAGCGTGTTCTGTTGAACAGCATTGGCATAGTCTATTAATAGGAGTATTGTAAGACAGAAAGCTAGAATAGAAATTTTCAATTTTTGTACTCTGTTCCTGCCTATTGCCTATATACTGCTATATTCTCTTATGTATGGGAACTCTGCTGTCATATTCTATTTATTATTCTTTCTATTCTTATTCAAACTATTTTTCCTAATAGTTATACGCTAACAGTGTTACAAGAATTTGGGTTTCGTAACACTGGTTATTCTAATATTATTACTGTTTAAATATTTACCAATATTTAAGTCTAATAATTGGGTACAATTACATAAGTAGGTGTTATTAGATAGGATTATGTGTTTTATCAGGCATATATTGCAACGAACACCTGAAATCATCGCAGGACAGGTATTGTAGCAGAATCCGTAGGGCAAAAAAAGTGTTGGACGGCCAAAGAATACGTGACAAGTGAACAATAAAGAAAGAAATCGCTACGGCTAACATAACATTTCATATTGAAAAAATTTCCTTCTTCTGTAACTTTTCAAAACACAAAAATATTTTAGAATTTCAAATTGTACATTGAAATTTTACTAATAAGTTTAAAAGCTTTATTATTTAATTTCTCTCTCCCTCTTTCACTCACTCTTAATTAATGCGATTAACTTAATGTTATAAATTTATCAAATAAGAGGGGAATTTAGAATAAACCTATAATAATAGGTATTTAATTTTCATATGCGCATAAATTGAAGTAAATTTTCTCATATTCTAAATTTCCTCTTTCTTTCCCTCACTCTCTCTATTTGATTATTTCTATTCTACCATTTACTTTTTTTAAAAGTGATTTCATAAACTTTTCTCGAAATATCCTTTTCATAATAATTTTTACAATAAAATTTCCCAAATCTTATTCTCCCCTTTTTTATATAATAATGTGCTCTCTTGTATTTAATATACGTACAAGAGAGCACGTTGTTATATAAAAAAGAGGAGAAAAATAAAAACAAAAACAAGTAAATAAAAATTTCCCTTTTTCATTTCTGAAATGTTTGATAATAAAAATATTTTTGTTCATATGGAAAAAGGAATAAAAAAAAAGAGTAGAGAATGTAAAAAAAAATAAATACCAGAAATAAAAAAGAAAAAATAAAATAAATGCAAAAAATGAGAAAAAAAAAATATTCTCAAATTTTTTTCTTTTTCGTTTTCTCTTATTATTATTTTTTTCTTTTATGTTTTTGTTTTTAGAGAAGGCTTCAATAGATTCGTTTATGCAATGGTCAGTTTAGTTGAGATACGGATTTGGAAGTTCGCGTACTGAATCGTTCTTTAAGTAAGAAAGCAAAAATATAAGGTCTCCGTTGGTTTATTTTATTTTTTTTTTTTTCTTTTTGAAAAAAATTAAGTGTTTTAAAAAATTAAAATAAAATTTTTTTGGAAACAAAAAAAAAAAAAAAAATAGAAAAATAAACAAGAAAATAAAAATTTATTAATAATTAAAATTATGAAATTATTTTAATAATTCTAAAAAATAAAAGAGAAGTAGTCCTGACTCCTTAAGTCGTCATAAAATTCTAAAATTTATTTTCTTTTTTTTGTTTTTTTGAAATTCTGTTATACTAAATTCGTATTCGTGTGTTTATGTAATAATTTTTTGTTATAATATCTATTTTATGTACTCATACATTTTACGTATTGGTATATTAAAAATTTAAAGAGTTGCAAAATAAGCAAAAAAAAAATATGTACTTGAATTAAAGAAAAAAATGTTTAGGGTTAAAGGAAAAAATTCTTAAAATTACAAAAAAAAAAAAAATTGTAATGTAAAGCAAATCCGTTTGTATGACAGTAAAGAAAAAAAAAATATAAAAATTTTAAAAATTATTTTATTAAATTTAAAAAAATAACAAAGAGAGCAGTAAAAATTAACACCAAAATAAATTTTAATTAAATTTAGAAAAATATGTGAATTCCAAGAAGAAATGGAAAAATAAAAAATTTGAATTAAGAAAAATTTTTAAATTTTGAAAAACATTTTTGAAAAACAAACTAAGAATTTTATAATTTATTTGAAAAGAAAACTTAAAGGAAAATGAAAAAAGAGGAAAAATTATTATTAATTACGAGCCCCTAAAAGTATGTGATTTTTTTTACTTGTAAATTAAATTTTTTAATACTTTAAAATATTTTTTTACGTGTTTAATTTTAAATTATTGAAAATTAATTTACAAATTATTTAATTGTGCACACTAAATTTAATATTAATAATTTATTGAAATAAATTAGAATTAAATTAAAAATTTTATTAGGCTAGTCTAGGTTCTTGTATTTTTAAAATTTAATAATTGTAGAAATGCTTCAAATTTTAAAGCTATAAAAAAATTTCAACTTTTAATTATGAAAATATTTTTAAATTTTAATTTGATAATTTTTAATAGCTTTTCTTTAAAATTTACAAAAACAAAAATATCTAAATTTCTATTTGAAATTTTTACTAAATGGCTAGCTACTCTTACTTTTGTTTAATTATTTTTAAAATTTTGTTATACTCGTATTAAATTTCAGACTATTTCTATAAAAAAAAAATCTTCTACAAAATTTATTTTTTAAAATATTAAATTCAAATTCTTTTAAATGACGTCATAAAAATTATAGTATAATAAAAACAAATTTTAATAAACAATATTGACTTGAGTTCTGAGTTAAGTAAAAAAAATGTTTGCCCCTGAAAGTATGCAAATTATTGTTATTTATAAATTTTCTTTCCTGTATAGCTGCTAGTATTGATTTAAGAACTATTTTATCGAAAAATATTTTTTTTAAAAATTTAATTAAAATTTTTTATCCTTCAAAAATTCATGAAGGAAAAATTTAATTCAAAAAAACAAAAAAAAAGAAAGAAAGTGACTTGAAATTTTTCAATGCTTTGTTCACTACTTGTAATTTTCATGTATAAAATTTAAATAAATATTGTGATGTATGTATGTATGTAGCTAGGTATTCATAAATGAATAAAATATTATACGTATAATAATATAGATTTTTTTTTTTTACGTCAATACAAAAGTTGTGATACAAGAAACAACAACAAAAATACACAAAAAAAAAAATAATTGGTACACAAACCTATTACAAGTGTCAAGGATATTCGAGTATTTTTTTTTTCTGGTTTTTGTTATATTTTTTTGTTGTTGTTGTTGTTTTTATTATTATCTGTTATATTATGTGTGTTACTGTGGTTATTCTTCTTTGCTCTTTCATCTTATTTTCACAAAATATTTTTGATTTTTTTTTGTTTTCGAAGAACAAATTGTACGATTTTCATTTTTTCCTGTTAATATTAAAAGAGAAATTTGAATTTTTTTTTTTTTTTGGAAACATTGTTGCATAATAATTTTGTTATTTTTTTTTTTTACTGTAATGGAAAATTTCTTATAACGACATTTGATTTGATTTTTTTTTCTCTTTAGCGTTTTATTCTTATTTTTTTGTTGTTGTTGTTTTTCTGCGTTAGGATCTTGTTTCATATTTTAATATTGTGCTGTTCTTGATAATGTTATTTAATTTGTATATATATATATATATATATATGTATATGAAATTATTCTTAATATTTAAATATGGTTTAGAAATCAAGGACATCACAATTCGTTTTTGGATTAGTTTTTTTTCGATTTCGAATTTGATTTTCATTTTATTTGGATTTGAATTTTATAAGATGAAAAAGCAATGATTTTATTTTTGAAAATAAATAATGAAAGATTTTCTGTGCTTTAGATAAGAAAATTAAAAAAAAGAAAGGAAAACAAATTATTTTTGATCATATTTTCCGGATGAGAGAATTTTTTTTTTTGAAGTACCATATAGGTAGAAGTAGGGTAGTGAATTTTTTGTAGAAAAACAAAATGATAATTTGTCGATTTTAGGTATATGGAAAACATGGATATCGAGTGTATCTGTTTGAGGGTCGTATGTATGAAGCCTGTTTGAATTATTATTGAAGGTATTCAAATGGAAATTAAAAAATTTTTGTTAATAAAATGTATGGAAATTTTGTATGGAAAAATTTTGTATAAAAAATTACGTTATTCAAAAAAGGAAAAATAATTTCTAAAACATTTTTTTTTTATTTCAATTTCTTTATCATGGCATAAATAATTTTATATGTAAATATTTTAAATATGTAAGATTTTTAGATTTTTTAATGAAAATAAATGCATTTCATTTGAATTTTATTTATTTGATGTCAATTTTTTTTGAATATTCTTATGTGAATTATTGTCAATTATATTTTGTTAACAGTTTAGTTACTTCTTATAAATTAAGGAAAAAAATAAGAATTCAAATCGGTTTTTCAAAATTCGGTCATTATTTCCTGAGACTAATGCTCAGAAAAATAAAATCATTCCTCCCAAGGTGAATGAAATTTTGATAAATAATTGTTGTTAAGCCCAAATATTCAATGTAATGTTGATTCCGATTTTTGGTTAGAAACAAAGTTTAGTTAATAAAAATTCCGAAAACAGATTGCTTTGCGAAAACAAATTGAAAAATTAACAATGAATTTATAAAGACTGTAGCATTTCTAGGATATGTGATAATGGAAACTTTCTGAAATCTGAATTTGCAAGGTTTAATTTGGGTAAAATATTCTTAAATTCAGAGACTAACACTAAAAACTAGCCAACTATCAATAATAAAATTATTCCGTTTTAATAATAAATTCAAGTTTTAATAATAAAATGAAAATATTTTTCCACATTATTTTGGTAAAATTTTGATAAATTTTGATAGTAGAACTAAAATTTTTACGATATTTTTGCAATTATTTAAGAACTTAAGAATTATTGAAAAAAATTGTAATATTTTAATATTAAATATAATTAACAATAATGAAATTTAGACAAATGAGAAAAAATTTCTAATGAAATCCATTTCCAACATTTGCTGACCATGAATTTCCTTTCTATTAAATTTTAATCCTCTTTAAATGAGCACGAAATTCCATTGAAAATTTTTAACATTTTTCAAATTATTTCCATATAAAAATATTTTTAAATTTTAATAGTTTTATTAATTATTATTATAACTATCATTTAAAATAATAACTGTTATATTCTAGTCTCATATCAAAAAAAAAATGACAATAGTCTCATTTTAATTGAAATTTCTGAATTTTGCTTACAGACTAATTTTATTTCCCGTATGAATATTTATAATATTATTTTTGTATAACAGTGTATTTAAAATCATTTTTTATAATCATAATTATGAAAATGTGTCCTTTTTAACTTACACAATAACTAGTTATATATATAAAATATCCTGAATCAAATTGACATTGTTCATAAATATTCTAAATTTTAAATCTATATTATTATAGTTCGTGTGTGTTTCTCTTATAATATTACGTATATTTTGGAGTAGTTCCTAAAAAAAATGTCTGACGTCATTATTAAAATGCAATTCTGTTATACGAATTATGAATATTCATATTTACATTTGAGTATTTCATATTTTGATAATTTTTAATTAAATAAAATTCTAATAATCTAGTTCTAGTTTTATTTATTACGTCAATAGCTAAATAGAAATTTTTGGATTTAGAATTTTTGTTATGCTTCACAATATTATTTTTGTATTTTGGTTTTGCAATATGCATATAACAGTTTACTTGTTTTCATAGTTTTATTCGTATCATACAATAGTTTTGTAAATATTTGAATAAATATTTAGACCCATACCATAGCATTTCATTAAAATGCAAATATTTTTGTAAATTTTTAAATAAATATTGGAATGAGAGTGAAATTGGAGCTATAGTGAAAAGTTCGTTTAAAAATTTTAAATTTGCACTAAAATGGAGTTTTTGATTTTTTTTGAAAATTAATTTGTTTAATGTGGGAAATGTTGATATCGGGTAATTATGGGGGAAAAATTAAAGATGGTATGAGTACCTAATAGTATGCAATATTATTGCTATAGAGAAAAATGATAATTATTATTGGAGAATAATCAAACTGGTAATTATTATGGGATTAATGTTAATTATTTTACGAGAATGAAATAATTATAAGAGTTTCGTACAGTAAGATCACAAGTTCTAAATCACAATTAAGGCTACAGTGATTTCCATGAAAATTTAATAATTTTATATCTGGATTTATAAATACTGATTATATATGGAAAATATATACTATGGTCCATGTTGGCCTATGTGCGGCTATTTGTGTTTGTTACGAATATGGCTTAAAATAAACTGGCACTATATAAGATTCTATACTTAGAATTAAATTTTATATAGTTCTTTTCCTATAGTCTAACTTCAATAATTTGATTATTACTAACTAACATGAATAGTTAGTAATAATCACAATTAAGAGCTCACAAATATTCCAATTTAATCATTTAACATTTTTATTTTTAATTCATTCGATGGAATTCTGAACAAATGAACGACATTCTATAATAATTAAATTAAAATCAACCAAATGTTCCTCCATTCACTTGGACATAATAGATCGTTTAAGGTGGTCACAGTGCCCTCTTACCTCGTCTTTCCAGTCTTTTCCATTCTCTAATTCCAATTTCATCCATAAATTATACTCAATTTAATTAAAATCAGCTGACCGGCAAACTTAATCATTTTTTTATATTAACCGTGACCCAAAAAAAAAACAAAAAAATTTAAATCCAAATTAATTTTCCAATTCATAATATTTAAATAAATTAATTGAAATTAATTGATCCTCTTGAAATACATGAATGAAAACTGTTCTATGAATAATTTACTCTTGTGATTTTAATCTAAATTTTATTAAAAAAATCACATGGACTATTAAGGATTAATAAGAATATTTTATAGGAATTTTTTTCAAGGACTAAATTGTAAATTTATTTATTATAAAAAAATTATTTAATATCCTTCAATAAATCAACAGAAATTTTTTCTTTTCCCCATTCTTTCCAAAATTTTCAAATAAAATTATTTTTCATTCAAATTTATCACTTTAGTCTTTAAGATTTTAAAAATTCATAAAACATAAAAAACCTTTTTTTTTTTTATTTTATATACCGTAAATCCATGTGGCATATATGTATGTGTTTGTCTATGTATATGTGCATGTATATTGAAA